ATGAAAAAATGTGTAATTCAAATATGTTTCAGTTTATGATATGAAATGAGATATCGAACCTTTTTAAAGTAAAAATGTTTAACTAGTCAGCGCAAAACTATTTGTCAAACAGTCCATATTTACCACACTGCTCTGAGGTAGATCCTCTTCTATACAGATACTTCTGTATTTATACTGTTCATGTGCACAAAACCTGTTTATTTTTAAGTGTTCTCTTCTGTCGCATGACTTTTCTATATGTTCCTACAAAGCCCCATATTTTTTTAATTACTGAAACTTAAAATAGGTTTGAATGTCTGGTAGGGCAAGGCTCTCTCATTTTTCAAAATGAGGGGCCCTATTTTAGCAACTTTCCTTTTCCAGGTGAACTTTCCTAAAGTTTCCCCAAACATTTTGTTGGTCCTTTGATTGGCATTGTTTTAAATTTATTCATTAATCGACATCTTTACAATATTAAATCTTCCCACCTCTCCGCCAGCTGGAAGTATTTTGTCCTTCCTCTGAACTCCCTGAGCACTTTATACCTTTTTAAAAATCACTTTCTAAGCTATACCCACCCAATTTTTCAAACCTGAAACCCGAGAGTCGTCCCCTCCCCTTCCTTCCCCAACCTTCACCCCATCCAATCCATCATCAGGCCCCGTCAATGCTACCTCCTAAATTTCATCCACTTCTGCCTGTCCCCACTACCGGCACTCTGGTCCAAGCTGCCATCATTTCTGGCCAGGGCCACCACACTGGCCTCCAACTGACCTCGCCGAGTCTACCCTAGCTTCCAAGCCATTCTCTATGCTGCAGCCAGAATGCTCATTTAAAAGGCAAATCTGATCGTGGCACTCCCAGCTTAAAAACATTCCAATAGTTCCCCGTGGCACTTGGGGTAGAGCCAAATAAGCAGGTCCAACCCTCCCTTCCAGCTTGAACCCAATCTCTCTTTCACACATTTTTTCTTCCCTGTTCAGAGTTACCATCAACTATATCCCATGTTCTTTCCCACCCCAGGGCCTTTGCACATACTGTCTCCTGTGCTTGGACTGTCCTCAGCCTTTCTTATCAGTTTAAGATTCCTTTAGCATATATCGTTGTATTATTTAGTTCTCCCACAGCTCTGGAAAATAGGTAACCCATTTTCTAGACGGGGAAACCAAGAAGTTAAGTCATTTGTGTGCGATTGAAGAACTATCTAGAAGCAAGCCCAGCTGGGAGTCCAGGCTGTCCGGCCCTACAGCGTGTGTGGTTCACCTTTGTAGCGCTACATCACAGCACTGAGGAAGGAAGGGTCCTACTGGCCTGACTTGTCTGCAGTGTCCCCAGCACAGAGTACAGTGCTGAGTAGAGTGGACTCACACAATGAATATGTGCTTCAGGAATAAGTCACCAATGTCCCAGGCATGTCAGGAAAAAAGAGCTATTTGCCTACCCTGCATTGCTAAATAGAAGATGCCAGCCAGGATGGCCAGATACCCGAGTCCTTGTTCTGACTCCACCTCTAATTTGATTGCCAATTGTGAGCACATCATTTCTCCCTGGGTTTCAGTTTTCTCATCTGCAACAGAGGGAGTCTGACCATGCTCTTCGATGTCTCATTATCTCTAAAATTCTGGAATTTATATGTAACATATGTTTCCACAAACTGTGAATCATTTAGGCTCCTCTATTCTGACTGGTACGTTACTTTACTTTTGAAACGTCACTGTATCGTCACCTCCTCTAGAAAGCCTTCCCTGGTTCCCCAAAGTCAGCCACTCCCTGTTCAGTGTGCCTACAACCCTTTTTCTTAAGTGAAGTACTGTCAGTTCACAATGTTGTGTCGATGTCTGGTGCACAGCATCACAGCATTTCAGTCATACATATACAGACATATATTCATTTTCATGTTTTTTCACTATATGTTACTACAAGGTGTTGAATATAGTTTCCTGTGCGCTACAGTAGAAACTTGCCATTTATCTATTTTATATATAGTAGTTAGTATCTGCAAGTCTCGAACTCCCAATTTCTCCCCACAACCCTTTTTTGTATTTACATCCCTTACGGGACTCAGCCCAGTGACTGTCAGCCCCAAGCGTCTCCCTCGCCTTCTAGAACTGTGAGCTGCTGGAGGCACGCGGGTCTTACTGACTTTGTGTCCTGAGCATAATTTGGAGCTGATGTTTGCTCAATGAATACATGAATTACACTGACGCCTAACTCCACAGCTTCACATCTGACTGGTCTGGGGTCCAGCCTGAGCACTCGTGATTTAAAGTGTAGCCAAGGGTGAGAACCTCTACTTTCAAAGGAAGTAGAAACATTTACACACACACACACACACACACACACGCGCGCGCGCGCACGCGCACACATGCAGACACCTGGCTCCAAACATCTACAGCCCCACTGAATGTCAGTTGCTCGTTGCTTCGGAAGATACTGAGGGCTGGTTGGGACATGATTTGTAGCAGTCCTGCCTGCCACCTCACAAAGCAGATCTGTCATCCGTACGCAGGGGGTGTATTTGAGAAAACAGAAGCCAGAGCCCCTATAGGTGGAGTGAGACCCGTTCCTCGCCTGCTCCTGGGACAGCCCGCGCTCCTGTGTCCTGCCACCCCACCGACCACTCCATCTCAGCCTCCTCCACAGGCTCCTCCTTGTCATCCTGAGCCCCACACCTCCGCGCTCCCCAGCCGCCCTCTTTAGACGTCTTCCAGCCTGTAGCTACACTCCCTTCCAAGGCCACCCCATCCAGCCCGACGGCTTTAGATGCCGTCTGGATGATGACTGCTCCCTTGTTCAACATCCTCAGTGTTCCCATGCAAACCCCTTGTCTGGCCTGCCTCGGACAGGGAACCTCACATCCCATTGCTCTCCTCCCAGTGACCCAGCTCCAGCCACACTGGCATTGATGCTCCCCCCGATGACGCCAGTCTTATCCCCACCTCTCAGGCTGGACTCTGCTCTCTGCCTGGGACTCCCACCCACCCAATTCACTGACGGCCAGATGCTATTCCAGCTGACACTGGGGGACCAAACAGGGAGGCGAGTGTCCCAGGCAGAGAACAGATTGCAGCCTCGAGGAGACCAGGGACAGAGAAAATGTGACTGGAGAGGTGAGGAGGTCAAAGAGATAAGGAGGGAGGCGGACAGATTTCCGCACCTGCGGCCCACACCTCTGCTCAGTGCTCCTTCCTCGGGACCCCCCTCCCTCACTCGCCATCCCTTCCGTGTCACTGTCTGAAATTATGTCACGCACTTTCTTTGTTGTCTCTCTCACCCCCTAGAGTGCGAGCTCTATGAAGACAGGGGACTTCCTCTTGCCCACCTCCCTATCCCAGAGCCTAGAGCTGCGCCAGCCCATGGTAGGCTTGTAATAAATACTCCTGTGACTGATGGTATACCTGTGTCCTTGGGGAGCTGGAATAGTAAATATTTTATTGCAACTGCAATAGAATCTTCCAGAGATTGACCAAAAAGTAACCCAACCGAGATGTGCCTATCTCAAGGGAGAAAACTCAAAGGCAAAATTTTAAATATATACCCCAAATCACTCTCTTCTGCCTACTCCTAATTGATATCTGAACCAACATTCACACCTAAACAAGAATAGGCAAGTCCAAAGGAGACAAGAATACACTAGAATAACATTATTAGAAATTCATCGTATGTCTGATATCCTTTCTTGATTTCTGTATTTCTTTCTCTGTGCCCCTTATTTTCTCTTCAAGGGAACAATAATCGAATTCATCTTCATACCCTCAGTTTTCCCCCCGACTAAGTGGGTCTTTATGTCAACAGCATGTGTTTTTCCTAAGATAAAAACTTTGAGTTACCCACCCTCACGTGGGCACCCTCCATGTCATCTTAGATCTTGTCAGATTAAGTTCTGGCTCCCTTAAAAGACCATCCCCCCCCCATTTTTTAAAATTGTGGGAAAATACACATAAAATTTACCATCTTAACCCATTTCTAAATGTGCCGTTCAGTAGTGTGAAGTCCATTCACACTGGTGTGCTGACCATCTCCAGAACTTTCTCATTTTGCAAAACTAAAACTCCATACCCATGAAACAACCACCATTCTCAGCCCTGCAGCCCTGGTAACCGTCATTCTACTTTCTGTCTCTGTGAACTCGACTACTATGGGTACCATACAGAACTTTTAAGCTGTGTTATGGTTTCCTACCCCAGCCTATAGCTCATCTCTGCTAAGTTCTGATCTAAGTTCTACCTAAATGTTGACCCAGCCTTCTCTCCTCCAGGCTCCTGCTCACATCAACCTCTGGGCCTTTGCACATGCCATTCCCATAGTTCGAGCACTTCCTTTTTCTCTCCGCCTACCCAACTCCTCCCCATTCTTAAAAATAAGTCTTCAATTTCAACTCCTCCTTGAAACCCCAGCTGACTACTCTAGTCTATACTAAACTCACTCCTCTTGAAACTTGTAACCCATTCTTTGGAAATACCCAACATTTTGAATATTCTAGTTCTCCAGCTGTTCTGTGCTATATACCATTGCCTCCTGCAATAGTTTCTACATTCCCCAGTAGGGACCATATCTTCTATGTCACCATACTTTCCACCTGGGAAAAAAGCAGTAGACACAGTAGACACAGGCATTCAACAACTATTAAACTGACAGATAATGTCTGCTTTCATAAAATTTTTAAATAATTTGAATCACTCTGCAGCATCATTAAGCAACTTCTTAAATCCTTTCCAAGAAAATGTAGTTATCGCCAGCAACTTTGTCAAATTTTTCTATCTGATTGATTGAATACAAGGCCGCTCTAGCACGGTTCCAGCAGAGCTAAATTCCTATCCTGAAATGAGCTGCCGTGACCATCTCCCATGACATGAGAATCAGGTTTACATGTCCCCATTTGATGCCCATTACCCCATCCACTCTTCCCACACTAGTAGAGAGACCTAGAGAAGTCAGAATGATTACCAAGCGGAGAGACAACGAACCAGAGCAAAGGGGAACCAGGAGCCAGCCTCCCTTGCAATCATTTTCTCACCCACCTGTGTAAATGAACCTCCCTGGAGCTCCTTTGCAGAACTGTTTGGATTTGTAAGATAATGTCACTTCTACTACTCCGGGAATGTGCCGAGGGGGCGTCTGCACTCTGATGGCATGAGGAGTTATTAGCTGAGGAGTGAACAAGCAGGCAGAGAAAATACCTGTTACACACGTTATCATGGAGCTACTGAGCTCCCGAGCATCTCTCACTGGTCCCCACTGCCCGGGGCAAACTGGCACACTCACGGCGCCCCAAACGCGTTGAACTCCCTGTCCCTGTGTCTCCTGTACTCCCCTCTCTCACCCTGGAATTTCAACTCAATCTACCCATCCCTTCCTTCCTACCAGCCCAGTGCAGATCCTTCCCACCTCCTGTGCCCGCCGGATTCCAGTGCCTGTAATAGCTCCCTCCCCCTATTCCTACATGGCTGTGACCTCACAAACTGATCTGGCAATTTCCACAGCCAGATGAGCACTGTCTACACATCTTTTTGTAACTTGTTGTTTTTCTCATTATCACAGTAGAAAAATTGGAAACTACAGAAAAATAAAGAGAAAAATGTTAACAGTGCATAACCCAGAGACAACCGTTATTAATCTTTGGTGTGTTTCCAATACTCTTCTGTGAATGTGTGTTATATAATTAGGTTTTACATCCATAGACACTGTTGTCTTGATTTTTTTTCACTTAATAGTACAGCATAAGCATGTTCCCTTTTCCTGTGAAGTTAGAAATTTTTCAAACATAATTTTTAATGGTGGAGTGATAGTCCATTATTTATTTAACCTATCTCCTATTATCCAATATCTGGAAAATTTCTAATTTTTCACAATTACAAATAATACTGCAATGAATATTTACCTTTTTAAGGGATCCCCGCCTGCAATAAACTGTGGCTTACATGTCTTTAAATCCTCAATGCAGCGCTTGTAGTAGGTACTTAATAATGTGCATTCATGATGCTGATGCTACAAGAATTACTAGTTTCCCCAGGTCAGAGTAATCTTTGGGGCAAAGAAAATCAGGGAAATGAGTTGCCTTTGCCTACCTCGCTCCATACAAGCATGGTCCCAAACACCACTTGGAGGCCATCGAAGAAGTTGTCCCCAATAATAATGACCATGGCTCCTCCGGTGGTCCAGCCTTCGCTTGGGCTAATGGCTTTGATGCAGGGGGTAGCTACGAAGACAGGGAAGAAAAAGTCAGGCCTGTCCTTTGGTGGTTGAAGTTGGGAGTTCGGGAACTGGCAGCTCTTGAAAGCTCTTGGTCATCTAAGAAGTTCAAGTTGAGCTTTGCTGACTTGCCATCATTCCCTAATTGGTTGTTGGTTTTCACCAGGTCATTAAAGCCTAATGAGTTGACCACTAGGTAAGAAAACACTTGGCTAATTGTGCGAAGGGTGTTTTTAAAGCTCTGTTGTTTTTCCCGATATTTTTATAAGTTGATCACACTGGAAATGTGTAAATCCCTTTTCTCTCCCCACCTCCTCTGCCCCAAGATGTTAAGATTTACAAGGTCTGCTAATGTGCTAGAGAGAGAATGAGAAAGCAAAATCTATCATAGTGGAAGGGTTTTTTTTTTTCCCAGCTCTATCAAGAGACAATTTCTAATCACTTTCCTAACTTTGCAGGAAGGATTTCTCCCTCCTTCTTCCATATGTTCGAGGCCTCTGGACTTTACATCCCAACAGGAACCCAATATGGTTTTCAGGCCATAACTAAAGTCAATCCATCACTCCATTTCCAAAGTTGACAGGGTCAAAGGTGGAGGAGAACTTTGGCAGGACTCCAAAAACACGAGCCCCCTTTGAACAGCCAGTCAATCACATCCAATCAGTCAAAAGAAACTGGATGGGTTCCTAGCTCTGAACCCTGGGATTTTCTTCTCCCCTTTCAGTGCCCACTGTGGGAGAATTAACACCACTCCAAATTCTTTACTGATTCAATCATTTTCTTTCAGTTCATTAATTCCTATTTAAGATGATACAAGACACATTTTTAAGGGCCAGGCTGGGGGTGAGGGCTGGTGGGCAGCATACAGCAAGACACCACACTAACATAGGAGCCTCGTCGAGCCATTCGCTCCATCTGACAAGAGCTTCCTACACCGATGAGTCAGGGCACGTGGACGGAAGGAGAGCCGAGATGCGATTTACCGAAGTTTGTCAATTACCGTCCTCGATACACTTTAATTTTTTCAGACAACCTGAAGTTTAACAGTTACGGGTATTTCTAATTACTTTAATGCACTTGGAAAACTACCCAGAGCAGACCATGATTTCTTCTTGTCCAAGCAAACAAAAATCAATTAGTGTCAGTTTCATTCTGCACGTTGTTTTGCTTTGCCTACAATCTGTTTAAGGGCACATCTGACACTTATTCATACATGTCTGGCACGGTAATGTTCCTGTTTAAGTAAGATGTCATAGGCTTACATTTGCCTGAAATGCCCATCTAGGGGGAAAAAAAAAAGAATCAAACGGAAGAGCTGGTGAGGCAAGGGCTCCTGAGCACTGGCTGGGAGAAGTCAGTGTTTACAGCTTCATTGTAAAACCCACATGGTCTTGGGTGCTTCCCCCCCTCTTTCTCAGAGACACGAACTGAAATCCAAACAAGGAAGTTCGTGGAGACCGTCATTTGTCTGTCGTCCTCAGCCCGCACAGCGGACAGCCCTACCTTCCGACGGGTCCAGTCTTCTTGCCCTCCGCCCATGCTTCGAGTTGTTGTGAACAAACATGTTGTCGGAAACGGCCAGCACGTGTCCATCCACGTTCACCGTTGTTGACAACACGACCTGCAGATTTCAAGGGAAATGGGGGTGGGGAGAGGGGTGGAGTTAGTGTCACATAAAAGTCGTAAAAGCCGCAGAATCCTGTTTTGCCAGACCTCTGTGTGGCTAAGGAGAGATGGAACAGAATTTCGGGATGAGCCAGGCGCTCAGCATCTCAGCGGGTTCTCCTCCTCCTGCAACAAGGGCGGAGCTTTGTGGAAAAAGAGGCTGCCCTTCATCCATGTATTGTCACATATTTGCACTCAGACTATGCCCAGATGATGAAGTGGGGAAGCCGGCAATCTGCTGGCTGCTTCTAGAAACCTCATCTCTATCAAAGGACTCAGACGATCATTCCCAGATGACCTCCGAGCTGTAGTCACAACAAGAAGACAGCGGTGTGTGACCAGGAAGCTAAGATGGAAATCCAGCTGAGAGACCATTTCTCCGAGCTCGGGGATGGGTTCTGGAACATGTGACAAGTGTTCCAGTAACCCTGGGCATGGACGTGCTGCCTGATGAGTGGTATGTGGTGTCCCCCACACCAGAGAGCAGCGACCAAGATGCTCAGACTTCTGGTAATGAGATAAGGTTGCTGGAATTCAGTGCTGAAAGTGTAGGACCTTTAGTACCCAACCAGACGAAAGGGAAGGGATGGGTGTGGCCGAGGGGAAGAGCTTGGATTTGGAGTCAGACAGAACTAAACTCAAATCCCACGCGTACCACTTCCTAACTCAGAACCTCTGACACATTGCTTAACCTTTCTGAATCTCCACTTTTCTCATCTGTAAAACACATGCAACAATGCCCATCTTGATGGCTGCGGGAGATAAAATGAGGACACAATGAGGTAATAAATGTAGAGCATTCTGGATGAGTTCCCGTCCTAGTTCCTTCACCCTTGCCCTCTTTGACCCGTCGACAGGACCAAGGACATTACTCATTGAGCCTCTTAGGTGGTCTAAGCTCTGGGGAGGCTCCAACAAGGGCGACCCAGGGGCTAGGTAACCCCAAAAGCTACAAGTCATGGCTCTGCCCTCAAAGAGCTTCCTCTCAGGTTGGAGAAACATGGCGAAGAAGGAAAACAAGCAACACGCAGAACAAGATGAGAGTGGGTTCCGCATGTGCTGCAGATCAGGGGCGCGGGAGAAGTTCACAGAGGGGGGATCAGCCAAGCGGGAGAGTGGGAAAGCGCGGCAGAGATGCGTGGACCTGAGCACATACACCACCTACTCCCTGACCCAGAAAAGTGGGTCCTCTTACACACAAGTCTACTTGTTAGCTAGGCATGGCAAATTTTTTTTTGAGAAACTTGTTACATACATATTTACACATGTATGTATATGGATGGACTCTTTGAGGAAAGGCATTGAATGGATACATAATGAGGAGCTGTGTTTAAAAACGGCTCTTCCTGTCCACACCCAAATTAAACCCCCTAATTTTCTACTTGGAATTTTTCTACCACCCCTTCCTTACTTATTAATGGAGGGGTGGGACAAACCTTGACCCTGTCTTACCTCTTAATATGAAAGATTCATTAGATGGCACTTAAAATTTATTTACTATGAGTTATTTCAACCAAACAAAATGAACACGAATCCTCGTTTTGGTTTTTTAAGTGAAAGTTACATGCATTGAAA